AGTTCGCTGGAAATGCACCTGGGATACGTTCCCATGTTAATAATGTATATATACGTTTGTGCTTTCATTGTGAAAGTGTTTATTTGTTATGCTGCTTTGTTCATAACTACTCGCCCGTCTGCGTCTATTGGATGTATGTTTGTGTTTTCCTTTGCAGGCTCTTTGGAATATTGTGAACAGATAGCGTAGCTCTGCCACAGGCAAAACCGAAATCGACCATTGTCTTCTTGAAATACCTTCATATTTGACGCTCGAGAAACGCATGAATGAAATTTTTTTTTACCAGATATGTTATTTTTTGTGATAAAACCTTCTTCTGCCATTAGGCATTTATGTCACCATTCCGGCTCTAGACATGCACTCTTATTTCTCATGGATATAACACTATGATGAACTTTTATGCTGGACTTCATAAACCAATGCACCAAACTCCAGATGAACATTCCGTGACTGGTTAATGGACTCGTGCCTGGTGGTAGGTTTATTATTGTGGTCCAGTAATGGATCCGCAACCAAAAGAACTTTCGTGGCCAAAGGAAATCAAACCGGTGACCTCGGCTATAGCAGCCAGGTGCCTTTACCACTGCAACAGTGGCCTGATGTTCAAAACATAAGTCATGCCGCTTATGACATTGAGCCCACACCAGCACTGATGCAGCAAGGACTTATTGATCAACACGTGACATGCATGAGATCTTCCGCAGGTTGCAACATCCACGCCAAATCCAAGATCCTCCGCAGTTGCTGATCAATATCCCCTACACTAAACTCCAGATGGACATCCCCTGGCTGATTAATGGACTCGTACCTGATGGTGGGTTTATCATTGTAGCCCAGTAATCGAACCGCAGCCAAACGGGCCTCCGCAACCAAACAGATGCGATTCGGAAGAGACAATAAAAGGAAAGGGAAAAACGTACACACGGACGAGGCAAACTCAAGCACGTGAGTCAATATGCTTACTCCCTTTTCCCGCCCGCATTGCACAGCGCACCGTCGGTTATACCTAATCCGGAATTCCTTGCACGGTGGTGGGAAAGGCGGACAAACGCATATAGAAACCCCCGCCCGACGGCACGGGCGTCTATGTAACCAAAGAGTTGCGGCGCGTTTGCGCAGAGCAAACAAAACCGATGGCACTCGCCGGGCGCGCTTGGATCAACATGTTATTTGTTAAAATAGGACATTATACTATATCCTCTTTTCAACGAATTCATTTGTGGCTGCAGCCTAAGCAACCTAGGCATGCCCATCCAGGGCTTAACCACATGCAGAGGAGTGCTGAGATCCGCACTTGTGAAACTTTATAACTGAAATCACAAATGCGGAAGCGTGTAGAGACCCACACATGTGAGGCACGCCACCCGCGAACCCTGTGCGGAAGTGTGTTGGGATCCTTACTTGTTGAACTTCAAAAACGTGCTGGTGATCCTGCGGGGAAGTGTGTTGGGATCCATACTACTCAAACTTCATAAACGAATAACGATTGGCACGCCACACAGGGAACCCTGTGCGGAAGTGTGCCGGGATCCTTACTTGTCAAACTTCGATTTCATAAAATTTAACGTGATGAAAGATATTATATTGTGACACTGTCCTCTTTCTTATGAAATCGTTTTTTACTGCAGTGTTTCCACATAGGTGTGCCCATGCACTCGACCCAAATGCGAAAGTTTGCTGACATCCATAGTTGTTGAACTTTGTAAGCGAAATTAGCAATGTAATCAAATTGAATTGGAGAGACTCTGTATAATTCTTTTAGTTATCCCAAAGTTACACATGCAGGTTCATCGTCTTGCTGAAGACGGTTGTTTAGATGTATGATGAGATCCGGACTTGTTTAGAAGACTTGTGACCCTGACAATTGGCGGGAGTATGCCGAAATCCACACTTGTTAAACTCAAAGCTTACGTATGTGATGAGCAAGGTGTCATCATCGAACTGTTGTTGGTCAACACATCAAATTTTCGCTTACCAGGTTATCCCTAAGTTATGCAAGCACACCCATCGTCTCACCTGAGACGATTGTTTGGATGTTGAAGAGATTCGGACTTCCGCATAAAGGCACGGTCATCATCTCGCCCGACATGAGGGCACTGAGAAACACACTTGTTTACAGTTGTGATAGGCAAGGTGTATTTTAATAACCACTTTTTTTTCGATATTCTATGCACAAATGTAGAACTTTAAATTGTGCTCATTCACGATGAATATCCGCAGTTTAAATGGTAATGCAAAAAAGGTTTGGGCATCCACTGACCATTTTCACATAAGATGCCATTTCTCATGCATCCACCAATCAGTTTCACAATCATGTTTACACTTTCCTTTTGAAACATAGAAGATAATACTTGTAGTGGAACAAAATTCGAAACATGGAACATAACATATGACATGTGCCGCTGCATTAAAAACGACTCCGACGTGACAGAGATCACAAAGCCCATACATGACGCAGGACATGCAATGAGCTTGTTGTAGACAACCCAAACTTGGAACGACAAAAGAAAGCAATGTCTTTGGCAGAAGGACAGTTGAATAATGTCTCGATTTACAAAATTCAATGAACAACAAATGGAACACCTTAAGAAAAGAGAATCCAAGTCAATCAAATCCATCAAAGACAACGATGTTGAAAGAAACATGATGCTAATTGTTGTGTAAGAAGCGGAATATCTTTAGAAGATAATGTCTCGATTTACAGAATTCAATGAACAACGAATGAAACACCTTAAGAAAATAGTTTTGGTCAATCAAATTCATCAAAGACAACGATGTTCTAAGATACATGATGCTCATTGTCGTCTAAGAAGTGGAATATCTTTAGAAGAGAACTGGAAAGGAGGTCGATCTCCACGTTGCAACAACGTCGCATACATCAACATGAACACCCAACAGCTGGCTCCATCCACTTGTCTCGGAACTCCATCCACCACAACATTCCCCACTATCGACTTCCAACTCCTACCCGACCGCCTGTGTGATGTTTGACGTTCCAAATACCGCACAATCAATCCAAAAACAGAAAGGTAAAAACTAGAATCAGATACAACGCGAGGAAAATAATAAAAAATTTCGAGAACATCATCTCTCATGTTGACGGAAAGGAGGATCCAGTGATCATCATCTTTGTGGACAGGAACAAAGACAATATCGTAACGAAGCAAATCTACGTTTCTAGCCCACCTCCGCACCCCACCGTGTCCTTGAAGTCGCAGTTTACTGCAGAAGAACTAATTAAAGTTGAAGAGTTGAAGCCCCAATGAGATGTCACGTGACCCACATGCGGTTGACCCCAACAACGCCATATAGAAATTGACGACCTCATCGTTCACCCTGCTGTCGACATGCAGCAGGGTGAGGAGATCTTTTGCTGCGATCCGAAATTAGCCATCGCCCAGTATAGAGAGAACAATGTGAGACGGCACCGGCAGGGTGAGGAGATATTTTGCTGCAATCCGAAATTGGTCATCGCCCAGTATAGAGAGAAGAATGTGAGACGGCACCGAGCGTCGTAAAATGTCGTCCAAAACCCGCAAGCTCAGAGGCTCAATTGTTGTAGCGAAACTTTTTCCGCGTGCTGCACTTGCGGCCCGCACTGCACAACATCGAGCAAAGGACATGTGGGGTTGTGAGAAACTGAGTTCTAGGCATTGTCCCCCGGAGCATGACGCATTGCTAAGTACTTCTCATACATGGCCTGACCCCTACTCACAGATCGTGGATATGTCCCTTTCTCTGGGGCAAGAAGGGAAAGACATTCCTCAATGGCAACGTTGTACTCCTTCTTCCCGATCTCGACATCAACCCCTGATGCCTTTAACATATCCTTGTGTTTTGTAGTCAACCCGGTGACTTTCTGCAATATGTGCTAAGGATATTTGGAGGACCTCCGTGTTCGAGACGACCCCACCCCTGTACAACAGAAGAAAGACAGAACGAAAAATGAGAACCATACAATTGCACAGATGCAACAGTCAAGCAGGACCTTTCCGACCATAGGACCCTGATTTCGCGTGGTCATGTGCACCCAGGTGCGGTTGTGATACTTGAAAACAAAACAACTGCAACATTCTAGCTTAACACCCCCGCACTTAGCAAAGAAAAACCACCACAACTCACAGAAGCCAAAGGCCAGCAGTCCCCGAAGTTTCGGATTGCGGCAGACTTTTCAACAAACCAGCCCCACAGAGACTGACCACATCACGCATCGACAAAGGAAGTTCGGATCCCGGCGAACTAAAACCGACACTATTCCCAAGAAGGGAAAACCGTCAGTCCATGTACTTGGCCACTTCCTTAGCCCCTTGGCCAGATCCTTCCTTGGATGGAGTGTAAGTTTGTCGAGGAGCTTTTCGCCGCCCTCGACCAGCCACCCGGTCGAGTGACAGATAAGCCGACGAGATGTATTAGGAAGGGCTGGTGGCTGTAGTATGGCGGCATCCGGAACTTCCCGTATCGACGGACAGTGTGGACAGTCGTCGTGTGCACAGCGCGGACTGTAATCGGATGACATCTGGACGCGCAAGCAGTGTGGCGTTCTTCACGGCTTACCAGTCTGTTTCTCTCTCCGTTCCTTCGATGGGGAATTTGGCGCGGGCAAAGCGAGCACGTCGAGAGCTTGACTGCCGACCCTCGATTTTTTTGGGGACGTGACATGTTGTCGTCCCCCGACCTCGCCTTCCTCTCCAACGGCAAGGGTGGCCGGCAGGACCAGGGACTTCGGCAGCGAGGAAGGGAGAGTAGTTGCAACGGGAGACGTGACGTTGCCAGTTTCGTCGATGTCAGGCGTTGTGGACGGACGGACAGACACGTTGTGGTCGTCGAGGATACCGTCGATAACTTCATCGATGCTTATACGCCGACTTGTTCTAGACGGGCTGATAGCGACGGAAGCCTCGTCGAAGCGGTGTTACAGGTCGACAACAGACGTCGGTGGTCGGACCGCATAATCTTCAGGTTGTCCGGAAAGGTTGCTAACGATCTGTGTCTCCATCTCTATTGCTGTGGCATCGTCGTCGACATCATCCTCGTGATGCTCTCCGTACAGTTGTCCGAACTCGTCAGACGACTCTCTAGATCCGACATCGTCCTCACTGTGCTCCACCTAGTCGTGTCCAGATCCGGCACCCTTCCTTCCTTCAAGCAAATTAAGTACCTCCGTTTCTCCCGCTTCCTCCCCTTCCTCCTCTTCTTCCCCTTTTTCCTCCCCTTCTAGCGCTCCCCTCCGTTCCTCCATTTTCTCCCCTACTTCCCTTCCACGAAACTCATCCCCTTCCGCGGTACCCGTGCTGAATCCCGAGGACCGCCCTTCCGTCTCCGTGCACGCTGCCCCTCTCAACGGCACGACAATCCCTGGCCGACACCCCCCCCCCGAAGAAGTTCGGATCTCGGCGGACTTCGTCGTCTCCGTGTCGCCGGACCCTGTACCTGCAGCCTCTCGCTGCAATCCTTGCGGCTGTCGCTCCTGCTCAGGCGACACCTTTCCCACGTTTCTCTCCCGCGCCGCAATGCTGCCAATTTCGGGATCCTTGCTTGGCTCCCTCGACCCCGAGAGGCTTTGCATTTCGGACCGCTCTGGGAGCTCCTCAGCGGACGTAGTTCGGATCCCGCCAGACTTCAACTTTCCGCTGGAGCGACTGTCCAGAGCAAGCAAAGCTGCCAACGTGTCCCTCGCTGAGCCCACGGACGAAGTCGGGAGGTCAGCGGACTGTGTCGTATGATCCGACCAGGTGCCTGTCGACGGAGGCCGGTCGACGGTGAAACCCGCCACCCCGCCGCTGCCTCCCGGTGTCGTATTGTGGCCGTGAGACCCCCTCTCCCCACTAGTCGGGATTCCTTTGCCACCCCCCGCGCCACCMCCCCCATCCCCTCCACTTCCAGGTGCCCCCCCCCCCGGAACTACCGTCCGGGCCACTGGGAGGGGGCACTTTCTAGTCCACCATGCCCTTCGACGGACTCATGTCAAGGTCGTAGTAGTCCTTCGTCAATTCCAACCAGCACTTGTCCTGAAGCTCGTCGAACAGTCGACCGGCTGTGGAAATGAGGGACAGGTTGCCGGGTGCAAAGGTGCCATTCTAGGCCGTCACTTTCTGGAGGACTGAAATCCTCGCGAGGTGCAGGAAGTTGGACTTGGACTCGCACGGGAATGACGCCCATCCCGCGCCTTGGATTGCGACGACCATGACCCACTCGCCCTTTCGTATTGCTGGCTGGATGACTCCCGGATGCCATACCATGTCATGGCCCCATTCCAACTCAGGCGAATGATGTTGTGGCTCAAGCAGGAAGTGGATGTGGTCATCCTGCCAAGATGGATGATCGGGGGGGATGTCGGACCCGGGACGCAAGGCGGACGGGGGGACGGCTAGAGCTCTGAGTCTCTCGATCAACTTCATCGGCATGGTGCCCGACGCCGGTTTGGCCGACGGTGACACGAGGGTTGCAGCGCTCGGTGACGGACCGACCGACGACGACCCTCTGCCGTGGTCCGCCGGAGGTGGGTCGTACTGCAGATCAATGCTCTCTGTGTCGCTCTCCTCCTCCTTCGCATCGGCAACAAACTCCACACCTGTGGCTTCCTCGTCATCAGTGGAGATCAGGGAAGCGTAACTGGCTAACTTCAACTGCTCCTCGGACTCCACGAAGTACAGCGACTGCAGCCTATCGAGAAACGTCTTCACGTTCATGCGGGAGGCGAAGTGGTAGTTGTCGAGCAGTGCGAACTCGTGGTCCTTCCGGCGGACGTACTCGGCGTAAGAGTCCTTCCTCAGACGCGTTTGAAGGAACAAGAAATCGTATATCTTGTTCCTCTTCCTCTCGCTCAACTTAAACCACATATCCGTCTTGTTGCTTCACACCTTATCCCGTGTTGGCTTCACGACCATGAACTCACAATTGTGCCCGTTCGAATTGACCTCGCTTTTCACCACCTGCATCGTGAATTGCAAGAGCTCGGCGTTCCCTTCCATCGCGACAACGTGCCGGCCGGCCTTTTGAAGATCCCAGACACTTCGCGCGTGTGGTTTCCCAAGGAACACGACGCCCTCTCCCTTCGTGCTAAGGAAATCAAGAAGACCGATGAATTGTGTCGAATTGCGTTCCATATCCCCGTAGACACTGCCATATCATTCCGGCGCCACGAGCGACCAATCGCAAGGCACAAAGGGAATCTCGGACACATCCGTCTGGGTGACCCTCTGAGGCAATCGCACCGCAACAGCGGCACCCCTGGGCAGGTTTCCCTCGTAGATCACGGACATGTTCGCGCGCAGATCGTCACCCTTGAAGAGGATGTACATGCGGTCTTCATCCGTGTACAAATTGTTCCCAACGGGGAAGCTTTTCTTTTGCTGAACTCTCCTCACCCACTTCCCCCCCAACAGCTTGACGAAAGAAAGATGGTGCATGCTGGCGAGAAACATGAGGTTGTGCTGGCGCGACATGAAAACAACGAAAGTCCACTGCGACGGACACGACGTCTGAAGATAGGAATCCAATGTCTCCCACGCTTAGGTCTTCCACAGTTTGAGGTCAACTGGCTTGCACAGATCGAGGACGAACGTGTGGCTCTTTGTGGCAGCCACTGCTTCCTTCAGCTCTGCGCCCCTCATGTCCGCCTCCAAAAGGTCGTTAGCGAACGGCGCGATGGAAGTGACATCCCCCGTATCTTTCCATTTAATGTGAACAATGCCTTCGACAAGGGCGACCTCATGGCTCTTCAGTCTGCTCCCATTCAACACGGAGAGAACCTTGTTTCTCCAGTCGACGGACAACTTCTTGTGTCCCGCCAACTTCTCCATCACCTCAATCGAGTTGTCCTGGTCGCAACCCATGTACGGAAGGCAGTCCTTGAACAACGCCGAGTCTGAAACGTGTTTCCTGCTGTTATCCCACAACTCGTCATCCAATCCTTGACTTTCAAACTTCCTGAACACTGCAGACCTCGATTTCAGGAAAGGTTACCTTTGGATCCAATCTGCGTCCGGCCTCTTCTCGTGTTTAAATTGGTAGTAATTCCACAACCGGACCAGCACGTGGTCGCATTTCACCAGCTGCACCATGTCCTGCACGCTTAGCTTCCCCAACTTCGCCAACGACGGGGAACCGACCTGGACCCAAACGACCTCGCAAGCAAGCACCTTCTTAAGAACTCGACACTTCTCATTGTCCGTGAGCGATTCCATTGCTTTCCAACAATGCGGGTCCGGGTCGAGCACTTGCACGAACCAATCGCGCTCCTCTTTCTCCTTTTTGCCTTTCTTATTTGGTGGGTCCACTGGCACATTGTACACCACCTAAGTTCTGCCCAACTTGTCGTTGTGGATGTAGGCGACCCCAGGCTTGACGTTTTTGACCTTCTTCTTTTTCACGATCCACTTCGCTCGGTCGTGGCTCAGCAATCTACCCGTCTCCTATTTTTCGAAAAATTCCAGGGCCAGTTTCCGGACATTCTCTCCGGCCATCGCGAGAGGGAAATAAGAACGCAAGGCAACATTTTGCTTCTTAAGGGCCTCCTCTTCCTTTTGATCCGCGAGAATCCACAAGTTGTTGTGAGGCGCCTTATGGAGCGCTGTTGTACAAAACTTACGCCAAGCCCGGACCTGATCTTGTTTCCCGCTAGGACTCCCCATCACAGCTCTCGGGCAGCTGTCATGCTTCCACTGCCACCGAATGTCTTTCATAGACAGCTTCAACTGTTTGGGAGGCGCCTTGAGGTCCTTCTTGTTGTCCTGTGAACTAACAAGAAAATACCCTTCGAAGTCGTCGTCCGAAAAGTAAAGCATTCGCGCCGGCCACCGCTCGAAATTGTACTTCTTGGCCACCTCTCTCCCGAGCAGCGACCGGGCTGCAGCCGCGTTATGCTGCCCGCACACCGCGTAGTAGTAGTATTGTCCCACCAGCTCGCCCTTCCACTCCTCCGGCTTCAGACGTTGACCCTTGGTCCCGGGAGTTGGTTTTTGAAGCCCCAGTGGTGTGAGCTTGAAGATCGGCAACTCGTACGTCTGCTCTTTATTTACTGCATTGCTTCTTTTATCGTTCCCACGAGGACAGGATCCAGCGATCGCTGGTTGTAAAGATCCTCCCACTCCCCGAGGTCGACGATCTGAGCCGGGCTAATCTCAAACTTCCGCCTTGTCCTGACGCCGTCTTTGTACTCCAGGAAGTACCCGGCGTCCACGTCGATGGCAGGCCTTGTTCTGGAAGGTCCTGACGCAGACTGTTTCTGTTTTGAAGCCGGACGTTTGCTATCCGGGTGGTCCTCTTCCACCCCCCTTCCCTTTCGTTTCTCTCCCGTAGTCTCCGGGGTCCTCGTCCTCTGTTTCTTCGAAGAGCCTACCACGTCCTCTTGATAATCTCCCCTCCTTTTTTGGGGAGTCCCTTGCGCTCCCTCACCGCCCACGGCCTTGTCGTCCGCGCAATGGCCCTCGCCGGGCTCCAAGTCGGACCCACACTGGACTGCCTCTTCTCCGGGATCCGCTGCTACCTCTTGTCGGACCCAGGTATGGACAGCACGGACTGGTCTCTTTCCCTCGACGCCGAAAACGGAGGACGCGGTGTCGCCTCATCTTCGCTGTCGTCAAACTGTCCTCTGGCATCCTCCCGCTGCACATGTGTAGCCTCGCCGGAACCCAGATCCCCCCCCTCCCTCGCTGCCCGCTCGACTCACAACCGCCGCACAGTTGCAAAGGCGTTGACAGTTCCAGGTCGGGGCCGACTTCGCAAGGGACGTCAAGGGCGATGTCCTTGTCCTCCAACAAGTCGAAGCACTCTCGACCCAAAACAAACCCGCCCTGCCGCCGGAGGTCGTTGTAGAACGGGGTGTTCGCAGCACCCACTCCGAACCCCTCGAACAGACAAATGTCGAGAACCGCCCCCTTGGCACCGGCGACGACGTTCCCCTTGGAACCGTACACATTTTTTATGTAGAACCGCCGACGACTGCCTTTCGCATTCTCCTACCGCAAGACAACCCCTAGAACCCTGCGGTGCTTGTTGGCTTCGACGAAGATTACAGGACCACACGGCTATTAAACTGGGTTCGAAGCATCACCACAACACCAGTCGACGAACCATTTCGACCTTGTGTGGTCCGACCACGACCTCGAGGTCGTAGACGAACGTTTTGTGGAATCTTTCCCTGATCCCATCCCGGAGGTCGCTGCAGAATCCCCCTCGCCCCTCGACGAAGACATCTTGTCTGCGGACGACAACGGAAAACAAATGAACCACCAAAGAGCATCATGTCGCAGACAAAACAGAACGCAGGCAAAAAACACGGGCGACAAACATTGCGGCCAACCGTTCCGGGACCTTGAAGTTCGGATCCCGACGAACTTTGGACGCGAAGACCTTTAATGACCTCTTACCTGCAACGAGATCAATCTTTAAAAACGGACACACGTCATGCGGTCGGGCGACAACCACATCGATATTTTCGAAATACAGATGTCGACCACATGGGGAATGAACGGGAGGTCATGTGCGAAGCTCACGTTGGACAGGGGGGTGTCCTCCGCTCAGCACTCGGTACCCGGGCAGGCTAGCACGCGAAGTCCGCCAGGGTCTCGACTAAAAGACGATGTGACAGAAAGAGAGAATCAGCCAGCCCATGTAGCCGGCGTTCCAGAACCGGGCTCGATTTGATCAAAACCACAAGTCGGAGACGGACTCTCCCGGTTGCCTGGCGGGTTGTGCGAACGACCGGACGGGCATGTCCGAAGACAAACCAACGCACCTCCCAAAAAGTGAAGTTTGTCGGGATCCGAACTTCAGGACGATGTGACAGGCAGAGACGGCGTCAGAGACACATGGTCCGTGCACTCAACCGCGACCTAGAAATGCCACACAGAAATGAGAGGCCGGTTGAGAAGGACAAGTTCGCCGAAATCCGAACTTCTTCTGATATGCGCAGTAGCCGTGACAACATTGTATGGGTCCTTGGCGGGACAAAACAACACGTGCGGAACAGGGCGGAGAGGAACTGTTGTCGCAATCCACGGGGGATCCGGAAGACCAGTGGTTGTCCAATAGACAGGCGTCACATGAAGTTTGTCTGGATCCGAACTTCAGGACGACGCGAGAAAGATACACAGAGATAAACACTGGATCACGTTTGAGCTTGGACGAAAGTCGGGGTCCGAGCAAGGTTAAGGTGGGAGAACCCTGGGTCTCACAGCTGACCGCAGGTTTTGATGGCAGTAGTCATTGAGTCCGTCTATGCTCGACTGGGACCCTTAAGAGTGCTTTAGGCATTTCGCGACTGGGACCCTTAAGAGTGCTTTAGGCATTTCACAACGACAATGATCGACTGTTCGGCACATGTCGCTGGTGGCCGGGCGACAACCGAACACGGACAGTGTTGATGAAGTTCGGTTGGCGACGGTCTCAGATCGCGAACGTCGGCGGGCGTAATTGGTCGTTCAAACCTTTAAAAGGCCGCGGACTCAAGCAAGACCGGGCTTGTGATGCCCTGCGATTCTTGCGCTCCGCCCGACGCCAGCAATACGAAAGACAAACCAATGCACATCCCAAAACGCGAAGTTCGCCGGGATCCGAACTTCGTCGGGGCGCGACATGGAAGGAGACGGCGTCAGAGATAGACCTCCAACATGATTTTCGGCGGTTGTTGAAATGATCGACGATCAGAGATTTGCACGACAAGTGCGCGGTGTAGCGTGTACTAGCAACTGTTGCCTCTCACACCTCCCTCCACATCTACACATCTAATATTGTAGGCAGCAAAACGGCATCTCATACCTCTCCCTTCTTTTCCCTTAAACACCAGGTCTGACTACCAGTTCACACGAGCCAACATTCGGCCTTCCCCAGGGACGACGTCGTGAACCGAAGCCATACAAAACATTCATTGATGATCCGTATACGTGGATCTTCGGTTCGTCTGCCCATGCCCTCTCCGAAAAGACGGACATGTATTTCATCCTAACAAACACTACCGGTCGTGCTAAGGAATTCCCTATACAGTCCCGTATGTCGGACACTTTCTCCTCGACCTCACGATGCAACGAAAAGTTTTGGACCCGCCCTGCTATCACCAAATCGCGCCACCCATCTGCACGTACAGGCCCACACGTCCGCACAAATTTGGACCCCTCAATCACCACCTCATTCCGTGACACAAGCACAACTTCATTGACGAGGTTCCGGCTCTTGTTCGAAGCAGCGACACATAGAACTCTGGCGTAATCAGTCCCCGACACAGTCAATCGCACACAACAGTACAACACAACTTGTGGAGAATTTCCGGGGCACCGGAGCGGGTACTGTTCCAGGAACGAGCAGTGTCGAGCGCAGTCCACCAACTCTTGTTTCCGCGAGCCTCCCCAAGTTCGTGGCGACGACCTGACGTAGTGGCACTCGAGGCAGCTGAAATGGAGGCTAATGCAGCCAAGTACTCTGCGCATATGGTTCAGGAACTTGTGTCCGAGGACAGTGTCAGACACCGGGATGAGGTTCCCGAACTCCAACATGTTGGCGAACTTGTACTGGCTCGCCTATGGACAGTGACTCTCCATCGTGGCCCAATTCCCATCACACCACTCGTCAATATGCAGTCCCATGCACGGGACAACGGTCATCCAGGGGTCCTCGTCGAAGTCCTCTGCGGTCGCTCCGTGGATCGTAGTCACACCGTTAAAATACCGCACGGATCTCGCGCAAGGACGAAATGGTTTTGCCAAGCGAATGTGCGTCTTGGGACTCATGGTCTGTGGTGTCGAGAACATCGACTCCATGATTCGTGGTGTCGAGAAGGTTGCCTCCATTACGCACCCTACACACCACGCGCACATGCCAAACCAGATACACGGGCACAAAGACACTCGTAAACACGTCGTGTTCCGCGATCTGCGACCTATGGCATTAGACGGACCGCATGCTCGAAGATCTGAATCCAGGTGGTCGACTTAGTTGGTGTTCACTTCTACCGGACAGTAGGCCAGCCACAAACATGTCCCACGAGAGGCGGGAACGTCATGTCCGCCGTGATCCGAACTTGGCGAGACTACGCGGGAGAGACAAAGGTGTCTCTAAAACTCGGCGTCTTGAACTTTTTTGAAGTTCGGATCTCGTCGGACATGTCATTTTTACGAATCCAAAGTTGTGACAATCCACCGGGCACTAGAAACTCCACAGTCAGAACCCACACCACCAGGGATTTGAAGCACGCCTGTGTCCGAACTTGACCGCCGCACGAGGAACCATGCACGAGAACTTCGGATCCCAGCGGACTTCGCATTTTATCGAATCCGAAGTCCGCCCGGGTTCGAAATTGACGAGTGTCCGCGGAACCGTGCACGGCAGGTTCGGATCCACGGCCCAGCAGGCGGGCTAGAAACATGAATTGCGAAAGGATGAAATCTCAAGTTCGCCGATATCCCAGCGGACTTCAAGTGTTTAAGAATCCGAGGTTGTGGCAATCCCCCTGGTGCCCAAGTCCGCATTCTGAACCCAAACAATGCGAAAAGCGAAGTTCGTCGGGATCCGAACTTGACGTATGTGCGAGGGAACATGCAGGAGAAGTCCGGATCCCAGCGGACTTCGCATTTTCACCAAACCGAAGTTCACCGAGGTTCGGACTTGACGATTGTACCAGGGACCTTGCAAGCGAGGTTCGGATCCACAACCCTGCAGGCGGGCCACAAACATGTCTTCGGAAAGGCGGGAACATGAAGTTCGTCGGGATTCGAACTTGGCGAAATTGCGTGGGAGAGACACACCTGTTTGCCAAACTCACCGTCCAACAATTTCTTGAAGTTCGGATCCCGGTGGACTTCCAATTTCTGCACATCCTCGGCTGTGGTTGTGGGGCGGGGTTGCGAAACGTGTTCGAACATGTGCACAAGCTCGCCGGAATGCGAACTTCTTCCGGTGTTTGATTGCGCGATCAGTTCGCCAAAGTTCAACGTTCGCCGATGTTCGACGCCCGCCGAGGTTTGATGTGAAGCCAGGTTCCATGCCCAACATGGTTCGATGTTATACAAGGTTCGATGAGCAACAACATTGTGTGATCGGTTCGCGGGCACATGATCAATTGCCTCGTGGATTCTCTGTGAAGAACGGATTTGTCGCAGATCGGTCGCTCGATGTCGCTGCTCCCAACGTCTGGAGATTGATGATCTGGTCGGTGAGCGACCGGTCTATCGAACTTGTTGGTTGTCTTCGAGAGAACACTCGATTGGTCAGGAGATCTGTCAGGATCAGCTGTTTGATCGGGTGCTCGGTTGGCGGTTGGTGTGCTGATAGATCAACCACTCGAACAACCGCCAACATAGCACCCGATCAAACAAGTTATCATGGCAGATCTCCTCACCAATCGACTGTTTGCTCGCCGATAGGTTGATCGCGCACGCGCACACACAGACGCACAGACGAACGCACACGCACATCGCCTGCAGGAACACATAACAGGTCACGGTGCTAAAACAGCACTCGCACGGACACGCACACACACACAAACACGCACATCGCAGCGGTTTTGATGTTGCAATTGAGACAAGCCAAACACACACGCGGTGGAAACGTCGGGACAGCCCACACAATCAATCGACCGATCGCGAGTAATCTGTTAGTGTTCTGCGATCGGTCAGATGGATGCATTTGCGATCCCGATGTTGTCTCCTCGCGCAGTCATTAATCATCCGTTGGGCGGATCAGGGGCGATATTGTTGGGACAACAATCAGCATCAATCACCCGATCGCGAGTGGTCGGCTTATGTTTCGTGATGGGTCAGTTCAGCGAGTGTACGTTGTAGATATTGTCACCACGTGTTCGAGCAGAGCTTTCTCTGCTGGTCGGTTGAATCAATCACGATTGGCCTGATCGTGTTTCTCGATTGGTCGACGGATGCGTTCACTGTGTCGACATTGCCACTGCCTGTTTTGATCCATTATCCATTGGGCAGAACGACGGATATGACAGCGGGACAGCAGAAAGGATCACATCAAGTGTGGTAAGTGCTCAAGATGTGATTGTGTTTCGTGATTGGCCACCTCGTGTTTCGTGATTCGCCAGCCAGGCACACGCATCTCCGCGCGTTCAATGTGCCCAATCACACACACACACGCGCAAAAATGACGTGGAAACACCTTCGCGCGCATCTCCCCGCGATCAATGTGCCCAATCATACACACACGCGCAAAAATATGCACAAACAGGCACACGCACACACACACACATACACACGCGCACACGCCGGCCACACACACACACGCCCCTCTGATCCTGACACTCGCACGATCCTTCCTCGCGCGTGTGGCATACACGTCATATAACCACACACACAATAAAACCTGCACTCGAATACACACACACAGAAACAATCACACAGGCACACACGCGCACGCACAAACACACACTACCACACACACATACACACATCCGCCCGCGCACACGCAAACACGAACTCTTTCAATCTGCGCGAGCGTATCATCAGAAAACCCACCCGCAAGCGCACACAAACACACACACGTCCCGGCTGCGGGCGCACTCACCGTGTGATATTGTCGAGTGGAGATTCGCGCGATCCGCGCCGTCAATCCAGACAGCAATCTGTCGACCTTTTGGCTTGTGCTTTTCGTTCGCGAGTATGCTGCGTGGAGTGCTTTGTGTTTGCGAGGGCAGTGCGTGGAGTGGTGGGCGCCGGAAGTGTCGACACGCGATGTCGAATATGACGTGGACAGCGACTTCAAAGGTGGAGAGAGATGCGAGGGCATGCGGGGTGCATCAGTGTCGGGAAATGAGCGAGGTGAGGAATTTGTGTCCCTACTCTTTGCCAGCTATGGCGCTCCAGCTGTGCGGGGTGGTGTTGTTGATGACAGTGGCGGTGAGAGGCTTCCGTCGGGCAGCATCTCCCCAGCAAAAACGCAGAACGCATCGTTAATGCCCAGGGCGCCGCTCGTACTTGTAGGCGCGCGGGACTCGAGGCCCCCTCAGGCCTTCCGTTTCGGAAAATCTCGCAGGGTCCGTACGCCACCGCACGACTGTTCGATCCTCGCATCGAACGGTGGCTCCTCGTCGAAATTTCCCCGACGGGGACCTCATGAGCACGACATGACAAAAAAGTCCCTGTGGGCCAGCCCTTCCCGAGCGTCATTGAAAAATAGAGCCCTTTTTCCTGGCCGCTCGCGTTCGTGTCGTCGGGTTCGCGGGCCCCGCGCGAGGGAGTCTCAGGCAGCGCAGGGGGGGGCAGCTTGTATTTTCCAGTCCGTTCGGGGGGGGGGGCGCGGGGGGCCGCGGGAGGGGAGGTTGGAGGGGTTCGCGGGCATTCGCGTCTCCTGCCAAGCGAGCAGGGTCCGAGGCCACGCGGGGGGACACATGCGGGTCTTCCCATGGGGTGCGACGACAGTTTGGGGCTTTGCTGCCTGGGGTCTGGTGCAGCACATTCGCATCTCCAGCCATGACGAGCGCATTCGTGCGCGGCGTTCCTTCGTCTACCTCCTCTGTCGCCTTTGCTGCTCCACTGTTGCGCCACATGTCTGCGGGCGTCCCTCTCGTTGCCAACTCTTTCCCGTCCTTCTGCCCGCTGCTGGGGTCCAGTTGTCGGCGCTTCGACATTCCGTCTTTGCGTTATGCGCTAGCAAGTGGTCGCCGTGGTCTGTGCTCAGCCCTTGTCGAATAGTCGCGCCATCGTGCGCGCTTCGCCATCGTCGAAGAACTGCGCGTCGTCCAAGACTTGTGCCCCGTCAGAGAGCTGCGCCATCGTGTGCGCTGTGCCCTCGTTAAGGTAAAGTGGTTTTCTGCCTTCCCGCGTGTCAGTCGTCGCACATGCTTGCCGGCGCATGGGAGCAGCCACATCGCGCCACGTGTTGCAAGTCGCGGGGACGGCGGGAACGGATGTCGATGACATTGGGGCACATGGTTTCTGTATGCCCTTTTGCTTCCCACTCGTTCGTTCCTCGCGAGCGGCCCCTTCACTCTTGCTTACCATCATCATCATCATCACCATCATCATCATCATCATCGTCGTCATCATCATCATCATCATCATCGTCAGCATCCTCATCATCAACGTCATCATCATCATCATCAGCATCAGCATCAGCATCATCGTTGTCATCATCATCAACACCATCATCATCATCATGATCATCATCATCCTCATCATCATCAATGACATCATCAACAACAACATCATCATCATCACCGACATTGTCGTAGTCATCAACAACGCCACCGTCCTCGTCGTCATCATCTCATCATCATCTGCATCGCAATCAGCATCATCATCATCGCAATCAACACCCTGATGATCATCATGTCATCATCATCATCGTCTGCATCGCAATCAGCATCATCATCATTTTCATCAACACCTTGATGATCATCATGTCGTGGCACGTGTCGCAAGTGGCGGGGACGGAGGGAATGGATGACGAAGACTTTTGGGCACACGGTTGTTGTGTTCCCTTCTGCTTCCCTCTCGCTCGTTCCACGTGATCGCCCCCATGATTCCTGCTTGGGTTGGCGATGGGCCAGATGGTTTTTGTATTTCCTTCTCTTCGCACTCCTTCGTTCCTCGCGAAAGGCCCCATGATTCCAGCTTCGCTTGGCATTGAAGATGAGCCAACTGAACATTGCAAAACACTCCCACGTGGTTGCCATACTGAACATTGCAAAACACTCCCGCGTGGTTGAGGCAAACACGAAATCGCCTTTTTCCAGCAGAACACGAGATCCCGTCGACAAACGTTCCTCGCACGTTTGCTTTTCTTGACAAATAGTTCTGAGGTTGTATAACACAAAGGAGATGCATTGGACTGCAAATCCACGACTGATGGTTCGAATCCCTCGCAGGGCAAACAGTGGTCGCGGCGGGTGTGCTGAACGACAGCGGGCGCCACATGGGCTGCGCACGACAAGGGTTGGAATCAAACATCGCGCGGTAGCCACCGTGCGAACGATGTCCACCGTCCACGTGGCGTGCAGTGAGAGGAATGGTGTTCATCAACAGGAGGGGGTCGCTATTCCGTTTTCATGTTCTCGTCACAACACTTGTTTCTCCCTCCCCGGAAAGAGACTACGGCGTCAATCACGGGAGAGCTGGTGTCGTCTCCATCCCGCGCACAAAACGTGCACCTGATCCACCATAGAGGCCACAGATGTTGAGCGCGCGTGCCTGGCGCAGGTAATGAGGGACGCGACAACAAATTTCATACGACAAACGCTAGTGTTGTGCGCGCAATATCCGCGGGGGCCAGGACGAAGAATGCACACGTTGCGTGCGCGCGATGGAGAACGACAACACCGCTCGCTGCAATGACAATGTTGTTTCTTCGGCGTGAGGCCCACATGTTTCGTGAAGAGAACCTCAACATGAAACAATGACCTCGTTTAGTAACGAACAACCCGGCCGCCTCCGGGACACGTCTTATTCTTCGGGGAACGGGGGGTCGCCATTGTGGCTGCAGGCGCGAAACCAACATCCGCCAAACATGAAAATGCGAGTCGCGTGTCGTTGCCTGGCGAGATGGGAAGTTCGGATACCGGCAAACTACAGCAATCATGCATAGTGCTCTCACGGAAGTGGCATTGTGTTGTCGTCGCGCAGCCATTGGAAGAGCAAGCTCCTCTGAGAAAACAGCGCATGATTGCTGTAGTTTGCCGACATCCGAAGTTCCATTTTCGCCAGGTTATCACACGCGACTCAACGTTTTTTTTGGCGGTTGTTGGTTTCGCGATCGCAGTCACAATGTCGTTCCCAGTTGCCCTGGCGACTAGTTTTTGCGAGAAATTTTCCAGCTTCAGGGCGTGGGGCCGATAGTTCAGAACCCGTTTTTTTTTGCGGTTGTTGGTTTCGCGATCGCAGACACTTGATGAGGTTCATAAGTGGCATGAGGTAGAGCAAGTGACATGTTGTGTGCGTGACGCCATCGGTAAGCCCTTGGCAGGTGCCTGTAGGTTTGTAAGGATTAAGTACATTTCGGTATTCTCGAGGGTGGCGACGACAGGACAACAACAAACCCTTGTTTTCGGGTCGTCTGTGAATGCCTTATACGGGTTTGGTTCTAAAGGGATGCGGGGACATCGGTAGGAACTTCAAATTTTGTAAATGATAGAGTTTTAGAAAGTTTACATTGTTGCGGCTCGTAGCGTTTAATTTAGACGTAGTTCAATGTACAGTTGGCTTGTAGCGTTTAATGTAGACGTACTTCAATCTTGCAATTGCGATTTCTTGCACGTGTCGGTACAATTTTGAACTTTAATTACCGGTACAATTTTTTACTTTTAATTTTTCATGGGTACGACATTTCTTGAAGTGAGACAGAATCAATGGTACTCACGTGAATTTCAGTTTCATATGACAATGTCATATCGGTTTATGATTTTTTGTCGAAGTGTGCCGGAATCCATACATAAAAGTGCATTTCAATGTATGACAATGACATGTTAGTTTCGTCTTTAAAGTCACATAAATTGTCGAAGTGTGATAGAGTCCAAAATTATCTAAGTGTCACAGTGTTGGAATCCATCCTTAAATTACACCGAACAGACTGAGTGTCACGTCTTTCAATAAGTATGTAGTACATAAATAATGTGCGATGGAACCCAAACCCACTGTACTTAAACCGTAATCTCATTTGTCGTGTGATTCGTTTGACAATGTCGTATGATTCGTTAAACTTTGTCGTGATTAGTATACATTTAATAAATTTAAAGCAAAAATTATCGAAGTACGACGGAATCCATACTAGACTATTAGTACTTAAACCATCCGTGTGCTTGCCGTAAATGTCCGACTTCGATTGAGTTTCAATAAATTAAAGGAAGTCACAATGTCATCTAAAAGAGGTCCGACTCAATGCTAACACAAAATTGAGCAAGGTGTAAAGAAATTGAGAGCTCAACAATTCATGTTGTAGCCGTAACGGCTTTTAAGTTACAAAATTGATGGAAGTGCAATGGAATCCACACTTAATCCATCATGATCAGTAAGGGATTGCCTTTAATCTCAAGTTTAGATTCGAATTTATGGCCTCTCAATTGCATTCTTCGGGTTCCTATGTTCCATTCAGGTCTAAAATATAGCGATTTTAACATGAAACTAATAGCGTGCGAGTACCAATTTAAAATATAATGTCTTATTTTAACAAATAACATGTTAATCGAGATGCGGTATGGCACAGACAAGCGCGCGAGAAAAAAAAAAACGCACAATGACATTGTTCTCTTAAAGCTATTGCCTCTACGCAGCTTGCGGAGCCTTGTCTCGCTAGTGTGTTGACGGTGCGATGTAGCATGGCCACACAAAGACGCCTCCTCAGGAAGCATGCATCGAAAAACAACGAACGGACCACAAACTGCTAACAGAATGTGAACCGGTCGTGGAGAAAGAAGCACGTCTTAAACGTGGTGCCGAATGGCACCATGAAAAATATATCGAGGAACGAGGCAATCAAGCCACCTCAATGCTGAAACCTTCGATCTTGAAGCCTGTTAGACTCAAACAATTAGCTCGCACTAAACATTCGGTCGTCACCTCGATGATGCCCGACCGCTCAACACCGTGTGCTCCTCCGCACAACGCACAACGTCTTTCCCATGAAACATCAGACACAGAGTTCTCAACGCCATTGTCTCGCGCTGCCCGTGCTGCAGAAGCTGTGATACATTGGTGTTTACAACGAATGACCGAGGACCGCGAAACTCAATGTTCGTTACGCCCTCCGTTCCTCTCAGCCATTACACCAGAACAAAAGGACACCGTCGCAGGGCACGTGATTGGAAAACTCAGTCCTCATAATCTTGTTGAAGTCACATGCTGTGTCTGTGATGAACTGGTTCTACCCAACGAAGTGACCATTCATTGCTTCTCCGAAATAGATGTTATTGACCGTATGCAGGCCTCTTTATTCAATCCGGACCCTTCGTTACACCTTGACCTTGTGCGGTATTATAATTGTGAAGACTTGTCTCCCGTTTTCGCAGGCATCATGCTATCAAGAAATGGTATTACAAAACTCCATGATGGCAGTGTTCACTTTAATATATGCCTGGAATGTGAAAAAACACTCTTTCACCCGCGCAGGCGAATGCACCTGCCAAAGTTTGCTATTGCTAACCATTTTTTCATTGGTGTGCTGCCTGCCGATTTGAGGAACGCAACTTGGCCACAGTTGCTTATGACAAGTTGAACAAATATTCTGGCTCAGATAACGATCATGCGTGGAGGCGGGCACCATTCGATATGCTACCATCTACTTGTCTTCGACAGTATACCCGGACAAGCAGCGACTTTGCTAACCAGGTCATTGACGAAGGACATGTTCTACCGCATCATCTTGGCGGGTGCATTCACAGATGATCAGATTACGCACATAAAAAGGTTGCACCATGCTAGGCATGCAATGGTGGAAAATCTACTCTACTTTACATGTCATCCAATTTTTTGTACTCTGAGGTGAAACGCGATAATACAATTCTTGATAGCATTCCACACAATGACTCTACGTACGTACCAGAGTCTATCATCCACGATATGTCAAATGATCACGCTTACGCGAAGCTACTGGACAATGAACAAAATAGTCTCAACACCCCTTCCGGTACAACGAACGAAACGACACACGTTAAAAAGTTAATGTTTTTTTCGCACGCGACTGTTCCGTTGGATCGTGCTGTTGAACAATGTGTCCTCGAATTGTCAAAAGCTGCAGATTTCAATGATCCAATTTTCATGCTTCATACATCATCGAAATTTGCAAATCTTTTCGACCCGATGCTAGAAGGCAGGATGTTTCCACATCTGTTTCCATATGCGCGGGGACACTCGGAAGAAGTTAAACGGAGAATCGTTGTCTCACGCCAGCTTTGTGCAAAACATTACTGTCTGCTGAGCTCCAGGCGTTTTGCGCAGGATCCGTACTATTGTATGGCCCCCTTTGACCATCTCGCTTTAAATCGTGGATACATGTTCTCTTACCTTACATGCAAAATGCAGCCGTCTTTTCATCGACCGATCGCCAATGTCACGACTAAGATGCTTAGCGCCGGATTGGAGAACAACCGTCGGCGAAGGGCCGGACTCCATGCACTTGATACAGACCCAGCAGTTGCAGACTTCATTCACCATGTCGAATGTGTTTCTGCGTACGTTTAGGGGAGTAATGCAGAACGACGTGCACGCCGGCAAGAAGCCTTTGCACTTTGTGCTCGCTTTGGACAGTCGACGCTATTTGTCACGCTCACCCCGAACACGGACACCACGTTCACGCTCGCGTTATACGTTGGCCTTCGTACCGTCGAAGAGTTATGTGACGTGTTTATCAACAAGCCTAAGGTTCAAACTGAGCATCTCAAATGTTTGTCTATGGCTAATAATGTCGCTTCGGCGTGACTCTTCGATCGGATCATGGATTTTTTTTTTTGAGGATGTGCTTGGTTTCGACTAATCCATTCAAAAAAATGTCCCCGAGAGCGGCCTGTTTGGCCCCGTGCAAGCGTACTTAAGGATGGTGGAAACACAAGGTCGCAGCACGCTGCATTTGCATTGTCTTATCTGGCTTAAAAACACACCCCCTACAACTCGTGATTTTGACGATTTAGTGAATTACAGTTCTCTCTTTGGTAACTAAGTTACGAAATACGTGGACAACATAGTTTCAACATCCGCACCTCGTGATGCTTGTCACCTTCCTTGTTCACAATGTCATGCACCGCCGCCGGCCTACAAAACACATGTGTTTCCGCAGTCGGCTCGGTGCTCACCGTTTCAGAAACGAAAGTCACAACCGTTCAGTGAGCCACCGAGTGCGGAGTGTGTACACTATCATGCTTTAGTAAGCTCACATCATATGCAACGTCAAAGCATTCTAGAAGCTACTTCATCTCCCGACTACAACGATATCCGACAAAAGAATGAAGCATGTGCTTCTTTTGCCAAACTCTCGGATGATCCATTTCAGGTGCATGTGACAAGTCGCAAGATGCTCGCAATGCCGCCGAGCTTGTTGCCTTCTTTATCGACGTTGTTGTTGATTTTCTATCTTGTCCAAACGCACCACTGGGCTCACACGGGGTCATGCTTCAAGAACACACATGTTAACATGAATGCAGAAGTTTGTCGTTATCTGTTCCCGCGTTCGCACTGCGAGCAGACAATATTAAGAGACGCCGGTACAAAGCTCAAACGGGGTCTGGGTGATGAATATATCAAGGTGTATAACGACGTCATGTTGTCTACATTTAAATGCAACCACAACATACAACCCCTGTTTGGCGGTGCTGAAGCCGCTGATCATGTTTTTTATTGTTGCCGATATGTAACAAAAGATCAGCACAAAGTGGACTGTAAAATCGCATTACACTTGACTGCATTCGATGCATACTGCGAGCGACAGAAAGTTACAGAAGAGCATACCGAAATGCCGACCGAAACTAAGACACGGCGACGCCTCTCCTCTCCGTTTTTTTGCATAATGAACAAACAAGAGATTGCTGGTCCGCTCTGCGCACTCTATCTCTTGTGACAGTCCTGCACATATCTTAGTCATGGTTTCAAAGTGCTCCCTCTCGCTTACATGCTAAAACAATTACAAAATGATCCCAACACCTTATATTCAGTAAAAAAAACAGCTTCGGATTATGTCGTGAAACACCCTTTGGATGATTCAATTTACATCTTCCGACTGCTGAAGCTAACATATGTGTCTTTGTATGAATTCACAATGCATTTCTTCAC